TTAGCAACAATGATAATGCTTTTTTAAAAATCAGCTTCCACATATTAATAGGGCGGTTTATCTGTGCCAGCTTGTATGATGAATATTTTATGTTACAGGTTCTCCAAGTACAGAGTGGGGACCCCAGGGTCCCAAAGATCTTTTCCAGAGATTGGGGAAGTTAAAACGATTTTCATAACAACCCTAAGATGCTTTTTGCCTTTTTCACTCTCATTCTCTCAAGAGTGTACAGTCGAGTTTTCCAGAGGCAAGATAGCGTGTCGCAACACAGCAGACTGAATACAGAAGCACCTAAGGGGATCCAGTTGTCTGTTATTAAACAAAACATTGAAGAGATTTGCACACAAAAGAAGTAAAATAATGCCACCCGTCACACTCTCCCGTTTTAGAAAATATTTTTCATTAAAATATTATTTGTTAACATACAATGGGTTGATATTATCTTTGAACAAATTAACAAGCAATTTGTTTAAATTTCCCAGATTAAACTTCTAATACAGTAAATATTAATAGCTATAACTTACATAGGAAGAGCTCTTTGGCATTCCCACATTTTAAGATAAAACGAATAGGCTTGAGAATAGCTGACTCATACTTAATCCTCAACAAAGAAATGATTCAATCATCATTCGCATAACACAAATGAGAAAATAGACACAGTCACAGAAGTGACTTGCTCAAGATCACACAAGGTGTCTCTTAAGCCAGCATTTCAATACAAATCTCTAATTCCTAACCCTAATTTCTCCTCCTCCTCACCACTGAGCAAACAGTATCTACTCAAGATCCCCTTTAAGATAGCTACATACCATCTGTTTAAAAGACAGTATTCAATATTGGGTCTTTACTCTTTGTTTTTCAGTGTTAAAAAGTAATGAGTATTTATTGGAATGCTTTAAATACATAAATTAATTTTTTTTAATCAAACACTACAAAAATAACCTCCCATCACTGTCAAAGCACCCACTAAAGAAAACTATCAGTGAGTTTGGTTCCCACTCATCCAGAATGTATTTATACACATACACACATATATTTTTCATCTGTATAAACACATTTTTTAAAATGGGATCACACTGATTTAGCAACTTGCCTTACTTCACCTGGTATCTCTTGAAGTCTTCCTGCAATTACAAAGAGATTTACTCTTTTTTTATAGATACCATTACTTTACTGTACCCAACTGAAGTCTCCTATATGGCTTGCTTCTAAGTTTTTGCTATTAAAAAATAGTCACAAGAAATGTGCTGTATCTTTGTGTAGCTGTGCAGCTGCTTCTGATAGAAAATTCCTAGAAGTAAAATTGCTGGGTGAAAGGGCATAAACCTTTAAAATACTAATAGATTTTGCTAAGTGCCCTCCAAAATGTCCATGCCCGATTTACATTCTCACTAACAGCATAGGAGATTTCCTCCAACAATTCAGCTCTTAACTGCCTTGGAAAATCATACTTTATGTTGCTTCAAATGCCAGTAGTAAAACTGTTTTCACTGGTCATCTTAATTCCATACAGAACTTAAAAGACTCACTGAACATATCAGTATTGTCAACTATTTTTGTTTTTTCCTTAAGCCTTTTTAAATACCTCAGGAGAGAAAATACACCAGGTGCACAGAATCTTCACCTAGTAAGCCCTCAAGTTTAGATAACCTGATAAAAAGTTATCCAAATTATTTCAGAAGACTATTTAACACAAATCAGAACTACACGGTAAAGCTGGGCTCAAACACTTAAATGAAAGTAGTAAGCATGGATTTATTATGTTTTATCTGTCCATTTAAAGTACTATGGCTACAAATAAAAGCTATCAAATCATACCAGTGGCCAAATTAGCTTACATAAAATAAAATGCAACAGATTTCATATCATAAATGTCAGTCAGACAGATTGCAATAGTAAGAATGGCTGTAACTGAAAAGAAAGTTTACTCAAATTCACATCCTCCTGAAAATGAATATATTAATATTTTAAATGAAATGTTTTGAATGTGACTATTCATTTCAATCATATCAGACTATTATAAATCATTGGTGCTAATAAATAAGATATGGTCTTCTTTTGCAAGTAGATAGTTTTAAAATGCATTATACTCTGACCTGCCTATTCTGTAATGGCTAATGGATATTCCAGGCTTCACTATTTCATCAAAATCTCTTTTCTAGGACTTTGTGCCAATAGTTTTAAATTGAAAGTCTCCAACACATCTTTGGGACAGAGTAAAACCCCATTAATTCAAGTCCAATTAGCTCAATTCTGAAATGGTATATGTAATTCTCATTAGGCAAGAAATTGAAAATACTATCATTTCTTCCTCTACAAGCTCTCATAATATTACTCTGAAATAAAGGAAATCAACCTAAAAGTCAGTTTGCTTTTCTAAACCAAAGATTTATGAAACTAAGGACTCATCCATTGTCATGGCTGAGCAGTTCATCCTCAGTTCAATGGCCCACTGCTGTTTATTAAACTACTATATAGTCAAAGTGATTAAACTTATGTTATTAATAGCCATTTACAGTTTAGAGTATGTGCATTTCTTTAAATAGCTTGTAACTCAGATTTACTACAAAGCCATTTTTGCAGTTTCTCCCATTTCCAATCCTATCGCTTACAGATCAAATATATTGCAAATATAGCACCTTAAAAGATACAGAAGTACTTAGAAATACCTGCTATTCTTATTCTGTATTTATTCTTATCATTTTGAAAGACCTTATAAGCCAATATATATGTCCCAGGATTAGGTGGCATGTTTGGTGGTACCTGAATTTACAACTAGCTATTCCCAATGAACAGAAACCTTCTCTTGCAATCTGAATCATGTGTAATTACACTATGACAAGGTCTCTTCTGGGCTATGTAAACTGGCATTTTTCCCAGGACTTGTCACACCATGGGAAGCACACATACAAATAAAAATCCCAAAATAAACATTTTTAAACAATGGCTTATAGACTACATAAAGAACCTCCAAAGCTGAGAATGAAAATTGAAGAGCCCAGTCAACAAGCAGACATCTCTCACCAGGGATGTGTGAGAAGACATCAGTGTCACCAAGCAGCTTGCCACACCTAGCAACAACTCCCAGGTGTGTGCCACTTGGGCAGCACCTTCCAGTTCCCCCAGGCTGGACAGAAAATCATTCAGGATGGAAAATAAGGGGAACACCACCACACACACACACACTGAAGCAGAGAAACAGTAGTGAAATATAGGGAGGCTGATCATCTTTAATTTCACAATGGCAATTTCTTGACTGTTAAGGCACCTAAACAAAGTTATCTTAACAGCTACATTGTCTGTCAACTGACTTAGTTTTCCTAATACAATAAATATTGCTTTTTTGTTAAATGTATTTCACCTCGAAGTGAACAGCACTCAAGTAGTGGTAATAGTGTGTACCAAGGATCTCAGAAGGTGGTATGGTTTCTTTTGTTTAAACTCCTCTGCAGTGGCTCTACAGACACATGGAAAAGGGAGAGCGAGAGTCCAGGAAGTATCACGCCCAACCTCACAAGCAGCCAGAAATAAACCAATACTCACCCTTAGCGCACTGTTGAGGAAATAGGGAGTATGGTATTTCTGGTTGTATTTTGATATAAAATGCTAACAATACCTAAATATTATTTCCTGTAGGTCATGTATATTCCTACCCATCTATTAGAAACTGGATTCATTTACCAACCATCCGGCAAAGTCTATCAAATTAAACCACTCAAGTTTTCAAGAGAAGCTATAAAACAAACCACTAAAGGCAAAGCATACAATTCTACATCCTATTACATGAGCTCTGGAAACAAAAAGAAGCATCAACACAAACCTCTGCCACCTCTAAGGCACAGAGCATTTCTCCTTCATTCAATTCCTGCATGTTCAATAATTTCCACGTAGCTCTAAGCAGAATGGATTTATTATGATGTTACTCTAAGAAACTGCAGTAGTTCTAGATGCCAATAAAGATTACGGATCAAATGGAAGATAACTACTAACCATTGTGTCGACTTAGATAAATAAAACTGCTCATAAACAAAGCACCTTATTGTATTTGTATGTTACCTCCACTAATCCAACGAAAACAACCAGACAGTAGCTTTGAGAGGGTGAGGGGAATAGAAATCGGCATTTCTCAAACCTTCTTTAAATTTCTTTTAAAGTAACATCCCATTTCTTTTTTTCCAAACCGTCCAGTGCTTTACGGAAAATGTTTGGGACCTCAGAGGCTGAGCAGGATTATGCAAACTAGACAAGCCTAAAAAGGTGGGGAAGGACTGAAGCAAAAGCCAACACAACGCCCCTTCCTCTGAAACTTAGCTTCGACCTTTACAGGTTCCTCTTCCCTGAGCACATCAAGCCTAGACTTCAGAACGCTGCTCAGGACTGTCCGAGGAATTAGGTACCATCGCGGGCTAGCGACGAGCAAGCCCCCCAACTAAACGTAAAATCTTAAAAGGTGAGGGAAGGGGGAAGGGGGGCTAACCCACAAAAAAAGGAAATTCCGTGCCAACTGGCACCAGCGAGGAAGGCAGAGAAGACCCTAAACAGAGATAGCTTCTAAAGACGGAACAATAACTACCTCCCATGCATTCTTTGCTAGTAACACAGGTAAATCTCAATTTTTCAGGAAAAAAAAAAAGGCGCAAGCTGTTTATTACCTTCAGCCTCACTCCCCACACCTCCAAACCCAACAGCTAATTGCACCTTCCCCACAGAACCCGCGGCTAGCCCCAAAGGACCGGTGAGGGCTGGCTGGGGATGAATAAACACACAACACCTGACTGTCTTTTCTCCGCGGTGACTTCCACCAAGCCGAAGTCGCGCGCGCGCGGGCGGGAGCCAGGACCTGGCCAGCGCGGCGCCGCGCACCCGGGTCCCGAGGCTACGCCGGCGAGCGCGACGCGGGGGGCGGGGTGGGGGGGCAGGGGGACCGCCCGGGCCAAGCGATTGTTTCCCCCGCGAGCCAAGACATTTTTTATCAAGTTCCTTTTGTATCCGAGCCCTACCTCTTTTTGGCCTAGGAAAGCTTTCGTGCAAGTGGAAGACGACTTTCTCCACAAAGTGCTGTATGTTACTGTGCTCCGGGCCGCGCACGAAGACCATCCAGTCGTGGGTGAAGCCCTCCACGGTGGGTTTTTTCCTCACCTGGGCGCGGTGCCCCAGCTCCAGCTTCACCTGCACGGCACACTGCGGGCAGGGGGAAGAGAGACAGCCGTGAACAACAGGAAGGCGACCGTTCGACACTGAACACCGAGCCTGACATTTTTTTCCTCCTTGAAGCGCACATAAAAGGAAACGGCGGTGCTCTCTGCATCCACGTTTACGCGCGTGGGCGCGCACACCCACACCCCCAAATACACCCACCCGCCGACCCTGCCCCCGGCGACTCGGGCACCGCATCTACACCCGCAGGGATTGTAACGGAATGTTACCCCCGATCGGGAAGGGTGCCCGGGGGTCGGGGGAAAGCGAGAGTGCACACTCAGCCCTACAAGCACAACAACAAATGCATCGGCAACAAATTAGGAGACAATTAGCAGACGATGCCAGGGCGGTTTCCCGGCGTGGGAAGGGAGGTAACTGGGATCCCGTGGGGGAGTTCTGGGGAGCCCCCTCCCCGAAAGTACCGCGGCGACAGGCACACGCCGAGGAAGTCTTTGTGTACGTGTGTGTGTGCGTGCGTGTGGAGCGCTGTGCCAGGCGGGTGGAAACTACAGGCAGCCTCTGTTGATGGGCACAAACTCCCGTGCTCTTACCACGGGGTTCGTGCACAACAAAAATGAGACGTCGTCTCACACACACACACACACACACACACACACACACGCGCGCCCGCAGGAAAACGCGCCGAGGTATCCATAACTTAAGGCGCCCGCACCCCCCGGCGAAAAGCCCCATGCGATCTGCACGATGGCCCAACAGAGCCCCCGCAACACACTTTCAAGAGCCAAAGTGGCTCAAAAGTACCGCCCGCCTCCCCCAAAATATGAGATTCAGAGAGGCAGGGCAGCGGGCGGGCAGCCGCCGAGCCCCGCCGCGCACAGCCCGGCGCGGGGGCAAAGTTGCGCGCGGCCCGCCGCTGTCAGCCCGGGCCCGGCTCGCGCCGCGGAGGACGCACCATCGTGACCGCCGGGCTGCCGCCGCGTCCCCGGACTGCGCCCGCGGCTCTCGGCGGCGGCGGCGACTGAATATGGCTGAGTTATTATTCGCCTCCCTCCAGCGTGTGTGTGAGTGCGCGCGTGTGAGCGAGAGTGCGCTTCTTGCGATCGCACAGAGGCGAGGCGGCGGCGCGGGGGGCGGCGGGGCGCGTGTGAGTGAGTGTGTGCGCGCACCGCGGGGGAGGGGCGGGAGGCAGAGGCAGAGGCGGCGGCTCCAGCCGCACCGGCCGCGTTCCCCGCGCCCGGAGCGCTGCGCTGCCCGCCGCCGCGGCGCGAGGCGCGCGAGGAAGGCGCGGGGGTCCCCCATTATTTTCTGCGTGTACTCACCGAGCTAGCCATGCCTGGGGGCCCGGAGGCTTGCCGGGGTGCTGCGCGTACCCCCCTCCCCGCCCCCTCAGCTGTAATTCATGAAGAGGCTGCTATGCATGAGAGCGCGCCCGGCCGCGGAGGGCGGATGGCGGACATTCTCTGCCTCCCGCGACCGCTCGCTCGCTGAGCAAACTCAGCCCCAAAAGCAAAAGCAGCAGCAGCAGCAGCAACAGCAGCAGCTCCGGGGCCGGAGGATGAGATTCCGGAGCATGCGCCGTGGCGCCTGACACCCGGGCTCCAGCCTCACGGGGCGGAGGGCGGGCGAGCGGGCGGGGCGCAGCGCGCGGGGAGGCCGAGCGGGCGAGCCAGGGGGAGCTCGAAAGAGCCAATCAGCGGCCTCCTCCCGAAACCCCGGCGGCCCGCACTGCTGCCCTGGAACGCCTGCTTAAAGTAACAGGTTCCTGCCAGGGGTGGGGGTGAGGTGGGGAGAGAGATGGGGAGAGGGGCGGGGGGTGGGCGCCAGCGTGGGCAGAGCAGCCAGCTGGGGAGCCGTCCCAGTGCCTGTGTAAACTCCGCTCGCCCTACAATAAAAAACGGATTAGAACTGCTGGAATGTAGCCACTGCTTAGAGCCCCCAGCAGCCGGAGAAGGGGTGTTAAATCAAGTCCTCGGTGTTAGCACGTTCGGGGGAGGGAGAGGGGCTTGCTTTTACTTTCCACCACGTCTTTCTGTGGTTTTGTACCGAAAAGGCAAGAACTCACACCCAAACAAACTTATTTAAAGACAGAGAGAAATGTCACCCTATAACCAAGCATCAAAAGCAATCGCTGAGACTGTTAACAACCGGCAAAGAATCCCATCGCCCCCTCCCCACCCACTCTCAGGCATCCATCCGCTCACCACTCCCACCTCGCTGTTCTGCCACCGCCACCGAAAACTAAAAAATGAAATGAACAAGAGAGAAACAATGCTATTTCCTTCCATGGGAACGCCTCCAGAGTTGGTAATCCCCGGCTCGGAGGCATCACAAAGCGGTGCCCAGGTGAAAGCGAGACACCTGGGAGTGCCGGGTGGGAGACCCTCCGGGACCAGGCGTGGAGTTGTTTTCTACGGGAGGTTTCCCCTCCTGACAGCCCGCTGGGTTGCATCAGAACGTGGAGGAGTGTCCTCTGAGAACGCGCGGGGCCACTGGGAGTCTTAAAATAGCAAATAAAGTTAATACTGACTGTAATGTGCATAAATTGGATTATAATCTCTGGGTGTACTGGTGACAGCAGACGTAATCCATCTCTGGGTATTAATCCGTTTGGGCTCCCGGGTGACAACCAGTCGCACGAGTGTTCCCAGAGCCGCGCGCCTGCAGAGGTTCTCACTCGGGTTGTATTTGGTGTCGGTAGCCGGGGACAGAGCAGCGCAGGGACGCGTGGGACCGGGGAAGGAGTACTGACTAGTTTCCTTTAGCAACGCAGACAACCTTTACAAAGGAAACGGCTAAGATCTAGACGATTGATTTGAAAGTGAAAGATGGGTGTAACTGCAGTTCGTTAAATAAAGATCCTTGCGTCTTCCTAGCCCTCATTACTTTTTTTTTTTTTTTTTTTTGCCTTCTTTATCTTCTTCCATTTTCTCCCCTTTCTCTCTCGCCTCCCAACATCTTTCAGAATCTTTTGTCTTCATTCTCTTCTCCCTACCTTCCCTCTTGTCTTTCTTCCTCGTTCTGGCTCAACGTTCTTGCTTTCATCTTTCCGTTTTCTTTCTTAAAACCACGAAAGTAAGTTGTGTCGGCCCTTGGATAAAAGAGAGCGGTATAGGAGGAAGGAGGTTACCTAGGGCGTAAGGAGTCCTCGTTAATTTTCAGTTCTCCCAGCTGCTCTCAGAAAGATAACCGCAGTCATATCGGACCACTTCGGGCCAACGTGAATTTCCAGTCTGAGTCTCCAATTCGATTGATTTGAACCCCAAAAACTGATACTCTGCTGTTCCCCAGTTACAACCAAGAAAGCTTCTTTGGCTTGAGGAAACCAGTTCTCACCCTTCTGTTGCCGTTAGCATAGAGTGGAGAGAAAGACTGAGGGGAGAAACACTTTAATCCAAGTCCAAGGGTTTCTATTTGCCAGTTGACCCACGTGTATGTAGATGTACGTCAACTTGTAGGCATATGTGTTCCTTGTGTGTGCATGAAGACCTAAGTTTACATGCACATAGACAAGCTATGTGTTAGGATCTACCTGAAGCGTGGACCTACTTGCTATGCATTATTAAGTTTTTAATAAAACAAATTAGAAAGAAGTCCTTTGGAATAAGAAGATTGGAAACTGATGGTTGTCTGGATGTTATGCCATTAGAAAAGTCATTTCCTAGAACGCGGCACCCATTAGACAGCGAGTGTAGCTCAGCACAAGGGTGAAACCAACAATCTGATTCTTCGTTTGAGTTAAATTTCAGGGTTTCGCTAACTTCTCCCAATGCCAACTGGGCTGTCTCGGGATTCTCTCTGTAACTTGTACTAGCGCTAAGGGATTGATGTCTCCTTTTTGAATTGTCTTTGCTGAATTCAAATTTATTCCAGGAGCCACCAATAAATCAGAGTCAGAAAGGGTCTTTTCCAAATCCCCCTCCTTTCTCAGAGAGTGCTTTAAAAACCGAATGTAGGGGTAATTCATATTCTTCACACACTGGGAATACAGATTCCGCCAGTAGATGGCGCACGGAGCCCTTTCCCCCCGACGTCCTTACGTGACCTCTTTACAACAAAAAGATCAGACAAGGGAGAAAGAAAATAACACACAACCCTGAATGCTCTAGATTCAACTTTTGGGCAAAGGAATTTATGCCAGTCGTTCAATTTATTATTTATAACCTGTTCTGGAAAACTGGCCATTACTTAAAAGCAATCAAAACAGATATAGCAACAGATTAATTTTGTGTCCAGCATATAAGCTCTTTGCACTTTAAGTGAGGTACAAATGTGAAAACAACCTTTTGGGTACCTGACAATGTAAATGTAGACAGTATTTTGCAAACAAATTTTAGCACGAACTTCTTCAGTGCTACATATCCACAAAAAAAATTGAATTGTTGAGGGATAAAACCATTTATCAAAAAAGCAATTTTCTTACCAAAATTTATATTATAATATATAACACAGTATGAAGCACCATGGGGTTAGTTTCAAGAATGATTAAAAAAAAGCAATTGACATATCAAATCGTATCAAATAGAATGCTTGATGGAGAATAAAAGAAGACGGTGTCTGTAACAGATCTTAAACCCCGATCACTATTGCCACCGCCTCCACTGCTCTCTCACCATCATTTCCACTCTAGCCTTTTTACTTGCAGTCGTTTTGTTTAGTTTGGAAGTTGAAGACAGTTTGGATGTTTCTGGCACAATGTAATGAGGTCCTTTAAAAAGTAGCTATAATTATATTTACTTATTTTTTGTGTTAGATTATTAATGCATAAACTCAAATAATCCCAAATCAATAAAAATTAGCCATTGCTCATTCTTTGCTGTACAGACTTGGCAGAAAAGGAAAGAAGATGAATGGGAAAAAAAGAAACATAATGAGACAACACTAACCAGATATCTTGCAAATATTAGACTCAGAATAATTAAGTAATTTTTCTCATAATGGTGTAGTTTTTTCTGTGTACTTTGTCCATGTGTTCATTCTCCAAAATCATATTTTGCCAGGCACAGAGTTGATGACCCAGGGAAGCAGTCTCAACAAAACCTTCCTTTTTCCCTTTTTCTAAAATTTCAAAATACCTAAATTTGGAATATAGATGTGTGTCACACATAAGCAAGCAGCAAACAAAGTCGATATGAACAGCCAGGGACAAGAAAAATAGTAGCCCGAGATTAGAAGCCAGGAGTCATTGCACTCAATTCCACCTTTTGATACTTAAAATAAGGTGGATGGGGAGTGGTATCTTTGCAATAGCAGACAAGTCCTAATTTCCTTTTCCTTAACCTAAAGTGTTTTCTATGTTCACCTTATTGCAGCTCTTTTGAGAAACTCACAATGAAAGAAAGCTTTCTAAGCCTTTTCAAGATCATAATCTTATTTTCTCAGTTGAGACAGTCTCCTTGTTATGAAAATTTCAGGTTTAAAATGTTACATTTTTTACATTATATATAATTTATGATTCTATGATAGCGTATTGGGAACCCCTGAATAATATGAACCATTATTACTTTGAAAAACAATTGCTTTGATATCCAGTTAAGCACCTAGTCCAGGATGATTTGCAGTGATAAGAAATACACAAAGCTTTTTTAACCACCAGAGCCTCTTCATGTGTAAATTATTCCCTTAGAGTAATTTAAGCAATGCACTTATACATTCAGAAGACAAGAGTGCCTCCACAGTAATAATTTATTAATTTAGTGGGCTGTATCCCTAATTTAAAAAATAGTACCTCAAGGCCTGAAAATTAATCAAGGATGTTATGTAAGACCAACAATATAAAACAAGATAAATACTGGAACTCAGTTGATATAGTGTGATTGAAAATGCCTTCCTAATATATACAAGAACCCCAGTGGAATATTTATAGGTAAAATACATATTAAATTGAAACTGCTTACTGTAAAACAACCTATCTTAAAAGCAGACTGTTTTACTATACGTATCTCTGGCATCTCTTCAAAGGCTACTGGCAATTTTCTATCTTTCTTTACATAATGATTTGACCTTCTATATCATGAGTAGAGAGTTAAAATAATCACTTAATCCTAAAATTAAAAATTACATTTTGCATTATTTGTGAAAATGGAAAAATAATATTTAGACAGCTCAAACATCAATTAAAACTGCAAAAGAAATTTACGAAGAAAAAATTATTCCCTTCCGTGTACTAAATGGTCTGACAGTGATTTGAAAATAACCTTAAGCCTCCAAGAAGTGAGTGATTTAGCACCTTATGGTAGGATCAAGTATGCTGGTTGGGTTAAACTACTTAGTCAGCTCTGAGTAATCCAGGAGTATATTATCCACTTTGTAGACAATTTACAAGGACACAATTTATGTGTGGGTTTTTTTAAATATAAATTCATGTGTTTTTTTCAACTATACAAAAGAAACATGACTGCATATATTTGTCAATTTCTATGCATAGGTTTTCTCACAGAAAAGTTTATATATTAGCCCATACTATCTCTTTTGGACCCTATTTCTAACTTTTATGAAGCAATCTGTGATTCCAGAGATAGAATGCTTGGCCAAAAAACCATCAATTTAGGAAGCAATAAAAATTAATAGAAAAGAAGGAATATTCATTTA